ATCCCAATGAGGTCGAGGGGAGAGGGCTCGATCGGCCGCGAGGAGAGAGAAGGGGTCCCAGGAGCACCATCAGCATCGTCGCTACAGCAAGACCACAGAGATGAACGGAACGATCGGAATGGCGCGAGACCCTGTTCAGGACATGGCTGCAGAGCGTCAGATCGGAGGCTCGTAACCTCAGGAAGGAGAGGAGAGAAGGAAGGGCACGCAACAGCAGGAGCAGGGGCGTCGGGACGAGAGGAACGAAGGAGAGAGGGAGCAGACCCCAACAGAGAGGCTGCCTGGGACGGGCATGTAAAAGAGGCTTGCTCCTCAGCTGTAAGCACTCTGATCCCCGCGAGATTACGCGGCATGTCATAGTCAACAAAGCAAAAGGATATGAGCTCGACATCGCGGGCAGGTCCATGCACAGAGGGGAGCGCATGAGAAGACAACGAAAGAGATGGTGAGGGCGATGCGAGCGACGAAGCAGCATTGTTTCCCCTCAAGGACTCACGTGGCGGCAGCCATGAGGACCCTGTCGAAGGACACCCTCTCTGGACCTGTGCTGACATCTGGCTTCGTGGACTCCAGGGGCTCGGCAGACACACCAGGACCGACGGTGACATCTGAGATCGAGAACACCCCAAGCTCGACATACACTCCCGAGAAGAGGGCGAAGATGGCGCCACCACGGAAGGAGCCTCCTCGGAGAAAGAAGGGACCTGACGATCCACCAGAACATCTCCACCGTCGGCATCAAAGTACAGCTCTGAGGTCGCCGATGAAGGCAATGAGCGAGCCCACGGGAACGATGCCACCTCCATGCCCCGCGCCTCACAGGTGGGGTCGTCCAACGCACAGTATCGGCGAGCCGCCACGAGGGACTCACGTAGAGTGGATCGCCGTAAAAGAGCCAGCTGTCGCCGACCACGCAGTGGGAGCCTCAGGGCGATCTGCGCCGCAGGGACCAGCTCGAGAGCGCGAGCATAGGATGGAGGAGTAAGGTGCCGCGCTGCCATCAAACGATAGTGTGATAGCAGGCTATAAGAGCAGCTGGAGCCGGTCCTCGTAATCCCAGTCGATGTCCGATCTCGACTGGGAGATCCTCACGCAGAGTGAGGGCGCCAACGTGAAAGCACCGACCACACTCGGCAAGATAATGCCGCATCGTGTCTGGACCGCCACAGCCATATATGCACCACGCCTCACGCTGCATGCGGCGGTGAATGATCCATCCTCCGAGGAACGACCGCACGCAGATGAATGCCCAATATGCTGGCATAAGGTGTAGTTGAGCGAGGACTGTGGGCCAGCAAACATCATGAATCCCAAAGTGCCGCTGGACTCGAAGGGCGAGTAGCTCCAGAAGTCGGTCAGGAAAGACCGCGCGCTGGAAGATGTCGGTGAACGCGGCTTGCCACTTGGGGGCTCGAAGTAGTGGTGCAGCGTGAGCTTCAAGTGCGGATGGTACTGCAACACGACGGGCAAGGCTCCATGGGAGAGTCGTGGGGTTGGGCTTAGCGCGAAAGAACGCGATCACCTCCTCGGGGATGGAAGTGATCCCTGCACGCCAGAGGCTCAAAGCCATTTGCCCACCAGTTGTCAGCTGTGTCGACGACGGAAAGCCCAACGCGGCTTCTTCCAAATGGCAGGCAAAAGGTGGCGCTAACCAGAAGCTCGGAGCCAAGGTAGCACTGGTGGCCTGAGAGACCGTGCCATGTTCCCAGAGAAGTTCTCGATGTCGTTGCAGCTGAGAGCGCCAGGTCAGACACGTGACCAAAGCCGCACGGAGTCGTGCGGCAGCAGCGATACAGAAGATAGAGGTGAACTTAGGGCC